AGCAATCATATTAAACCACTGAATTATAGTAATATTCCATCCTGTCTCGTCTTCTCACATTTTTTGGAGGGCGTTGAAGCCTTATTGGAACTTTTGGACCGCCACATCCAACAAGATTTCAACCAGATGCAATATGTTGTATATGCTGTTAAGTGCCAGGAGGACTGTGACCAGTTATACATCGGGGAAACAAAGCAGCCAGTAATTATCCATCCTGTCTCGTCTTCTCACATTTTCTGATAGCATTTAAGCTTTATTTGAACTTTTGAACTGCCACATCCAGCAAGATTTTAGACAGGATGAATTATTTTCTTACTTTTTTGAACCTGAATGTCACTGTAAAGTTACTCTTTAGTTGATTTTGGACATACAAAGTTACATCTACAGTACCTGCAGGGCAGGTTAACAGCCCCTCGTGCTAGGGAGAAGCTGATCAGTTATTTACATATTAGCTGTTTGTTTGAAAAAAAATTTGCAGTTTAATTTGTGTTCTATCATTTCATTTTTATTGCGTTGACCTATGTTATGCCTCCATCTATTCAGAAATCACACCCAGGCAGCTAGAAGGTTGATTGTTCAAACAAATGGAACAACCCACCTTTGTTTRATTAGTGCTGTGCTGAAGTCAAATCTGTGTGAAAACAATTGGAGAGTAAGGTAACAGTACTCACCTCCTGTGCCCAACACTTTTAAGAGCTCAAAGTTTGTAATGCCCACCCTCTCATGGTGACCCGTCAGGTTGGCTGGAGGGAAGCAGAAATCAGGAAATGTACTTTTTATCATGAAGGTAAAATACCAAACACAGCATGCTGAAAGCATACAGATGTCATAAAAGAGGAATAGTAGCCTTTGAGGTTATTCAGTTTGAAAAAGTACAAATGAAAGGGTATTTTTACATGAATAAAAGTTGATTTTACTAATAATAATAGTTATGCTAATAATAATAAAAACTGTCACTGATTTCATTCTGATTATTGATTATTATTTAACTGTCTGTGTGTGCATATGATATGCCACATAAAAAAAAGATCCGATAAAAAACATCTAATCTAAGTTCTGCAGTGTGAACGTAACCCTTMCATTAATTACCTTACTTCCTGATCCACCTCACACCTCCCCTAAAAACCTCTGGCACCCCCTAGGAAACACACGCCCCACAGTTTAACCAAAATGGCTACAACTCAGAAGATGATGTTAGTCTAAAATAAAACACTAGCAAGGGAAAACTAGTAGATTAAAATCATTCTTACTAGGCCTTTAATTATTTTAAAGAAATAACTTAGTCTAAACAACTTAATAACTGATTACCAGCTGGAAAAAGAGCAGACATTAGATGACAAAATGAACATATATCCATAATTTTATAATGTATGTCTGTAAAAGCATCTAAAAGTGACCAGCTTCAAAGCCTTGCCTCTAAAAATGGTGCACATTGCTTGGTAAGTAGCAGATAAATCAACAGTGCTGTGTCATTTGTTTGTGCAATCTGTTAAAATATTCATATTTCAAAATGTCTCTCRACTATGTTTTTGAGAGAACAGAACCAACAATGTTGTAACCTATACAGCCTAAAATGCACTTTAAAAAGTGCAGAAATRTAAATTCAAATGACTGATAAGTCAACACCACATTTAATTTAACAGCTGACACAAACCACATACTTAAATGCCCAGCATTCCTGATATAAACTAACCTAAAATGTTATTTTGTGTGTAAGTGTTAATAAACATACAATTCTCTGAAGAAACCCAAAGTTAAGTTCCCATCAAAAAAAACTTCAGTACAAACTGCAGCCAGTTGCTCTACATCTTCATAAGTCACATCTCCCAGTACAGTTGAGTGAGCATAGCTTACTTTTAGGCATGCATGTCCATTGTAGTGAACAAATTCCCTCTGTCTCACACTCTGAAAATAGGCTACTGAGCAATTAATACAGCTGATTTCACATATTTCACTGATTTTTTTTTTTTTTTACAATTGTAAACTAGAAAAAAATAAGCTACAAGAAAATCTAAGTGCATACCATATTTCAAACATAAAATATATTCAGGATATATCAGACTCTGTGTGTATATCAGACAGTGATTCACAAACTCCCATATTGCTAAATTTGACAAATAACCTGTAGATGACAAGAACACATTCTTCTTCAATTCTGTTTTGGCGTTAGGTTTGAAGGTTTTCAGTGGTCCCCATACGGCCACCCCATTAAGAAATTTCTGGAGGCACCACTGGTTATACGGTTTTAGTTAAATCTTAAAACTAACACTATGTGCAATGTCATGTCAGCTAAGCCTCACAACAGAACTGCTTCCCCTCCCTCCATGTTGGGAATTACTGTCAGCTACTACCACATCCAATTTTACCTCTATTTCTCTATCATTCACTCAAGTACAGCATTTTTTGAGTAGGTTAATGTAGAATAGCTATTTCAGTTATCTTGCAWGTTGTTTCCAAAACCTAATTAGCCGTACCTGTATATCCACTGACTATTCCCTTAAGGGGGGGTAATGCATCTTCCAGGCACATAGTTCAATTTCATACTGCATTCAAGTAACACTGTTAAATTCAGTTGTTGTGAAAAAGCTGTATATATCAAAAATAAATCTAAATGCCTTAAAATCTTCCTCCTACTGTTTCCCACACTCCAACGTCTTCACAACTAAGCTTCAGGGAGGGGTGCTCTGTGAGGCAGGAGCTCAGCTTACTTACTTAGCTCAAAGGAGGAGCTATGTACAAATAGGCGGTGCTTCGTACCAGCAAGTGTTTAGGCAGCTCCATGTGGCTACCACAGCAAATTCAAAGATTTCTCAAACATGAATGAGTCAAAGCAACAYTCTGGGACTTARGATTCACCGATAKGAAAATTTCAGCCGATGTCAATATCCAATATTAAGATTGCTGTTATGGCCGATAACCAATATTTAYMGATCGGGGTCAACATAAGCATTATTTATGTTGTCTGAGAGAACCTATTTTTGTTTTGGACAATTAGATCCCGCMTCCTGCTTGTCTGGTGGACAACAAAGAGAAAAAATATATAATTTAAAGTTCTCCTCCACGACGGTTGACTGTCATTTGTAAAAATGAAAGGAGAAAAAAACGTTCAGATTTTAAACTGATTGTTCTTTTAACCAATAGAGAGAAACCACATTCAAAGTTTTATCCAATGAAATTAGAGCAGGGCGGGTCAAGCAGCCTCGAGTCAGAGGGCAGGTGTTTTACTCCTGGGAATGCTCTCACTGTTTTCTAGACTACTTTCCACAGAGGATTGTGTTTTCATATATGTATYATATTTTTGAAAGCACCTCATAACGCTGTGTTCACACGCACAACAAAACCGTAAGWGATCACCTGACCGTTGTTTTCGAAGCGGAGGCTCAGCGACTGACTGTGGCTGCAGCATCTCCAACCGCAGTGCGCCTCTGACTACACACGTATGTCTTATGGTGCGTTCACACCAAACGCGATTTCAGCATCAGGAGCCTCAGGTTTACATACAAAGTCTATGGTGGACGCGCTTCAAGCAACATCGGGAAGTTCTGCGGCGCCTCAAGCGCGATTAGAGCAGCGTGATTTGAACGATTTGAACGATCTGAGCGTTGAGGCGCAAATCTCTGAAATTGGAAAATCTGAACTTTTGCAGCTCGACGCGCCGCGTCAACCAATCAGAGAG